CCTATGACTTATAAATTATTTACATAAGTTTAGCCTCATACTTTGTAACTAAAATATAAACACACTTAGATGAACCTTCAACTTGTCTAAGGAGAATAATAACTGAGCTAGTTGTAATTGGACCACTTAAAAGTTAGTCGGTATAATGTCATGTGAAGTGGAATATATATAGTTCGGTTGACATCCATTAGTTAACAAAACAGAGCCATCTTAATCACGTATATCGTATAGCTTCTAGTAAATAGCAACTATTCAGTAAATGATCCAATGATTAAATATTGTTGCACACACATACATTGTACATCCCAATTTAGATGTACGGTATATCAAAAACCTACCCTTTTGTGTATAGTAAACTAATGAGTCTATGACAAACATCTATAGTGGATAAAATACTAATTATAAATCTTGACCTAATATAATTGTAAATTAGGATTATTCATTGTAAAATTATGTGATGGGATAGTCCGTAACCATAATATGATTAACCTAAACAATTCTAACATACAAAGCATGGGTAATTGTTAACCTTTATAATTTATTTTGACAAGTAAAATATGTACATAACTAAAATAAAGCCTCCATCAATAAAATAATAATACAAATGATTCACAGTAATTATTTGACCGATCCAAATCCATCTGGCAACAGAACCTCTAGTGTATAACCGTTCTATTTAGATAGATGCATGAATAGCCATTTGCTAGACTAAACCACATAGTAGCCAGATACGTATCTCATTCATACCACATTGGTTAGCTCCTATATAGACCACCATGACAACAGAAAGATTAAGAAACTTTAGCCCTTAGCATGTTGGAATCAATTAGCAAGCGCGAATAGTATGAGCAACCTTAGGTTCAACCTCAACAAATATATTTTGTTTGTGCATGTTTGATTGTTGCTTGAATATTGGTTTTTCTCGCGTATTCTAGACTGTGTATTGGTTAGTCGTGAGGCAATGTATGCAGCTTCCAGGAGGTGAAGGTTGATCAAGATTATATTAAGAATAAGAACTAATCTGAGCAGGCAAGTCATCACTATTCTTTGAACATGTTGATCCCAATTGCGAAATTATTTTGTTTACAAATAAATTGCATGCAATGATGAACATCCTACTTGTGATTATGCCATGCCTCGATTATTGTTTACCCCTTATGCCTTCGTAACCATGTGTACGTATGAGTCCCTAGTCAATTATGACAATTACTTAGAAATGCTATTCTAGAATCATACATACTCATATTTATCAAATGCTATATGCTTGGGCAATTACCTTTGGGAAGGTAATTGAGATGCGGCATGTGGAGACATGAGCGCCACATTGCCATGATGTTGATGACATGATTTGTGAAAGGAGAAATAAAATTAAACAACTGTTTTCGACTGGGGCGGACGGAGGATTTGGGTGGTATCCGGAAAAGGCTAGTACCATCCCCGGTCAATTAAGGACCGAGCCATGAATTTAAGCATGAAACGACCCCCGTACAACCGCACTTCTCGTATGGGTATAGACCTAGCGAAATAGATAGCTGAGCGGAGGCAGTATCCATGCATAGTGGTTTCTTGATGTGTGAGGTAGGGGCTCTATGGTGGGGCAGCCATTGGTAGAACCGCGAGGCAGGTGTCTACAGTGGTGTCGCCATCAGTAGGACTGCCATGAGAGAATTTAAACATAATTATAACTTAATGCATGGGTGAGTCTTTCCTTCCCGGGTGCTCCAGAACTCCTCTCACTACTAGAAACCGTGTACGCCTAGAGTGTATGAGGATGTAAAGTTCATGGAGCGGGTACTGCCAATGCGAGGTTATCGAAAAGCTTTGCCGTGACGCGTCTCATGTGTTGGGACAAGGCTCAGGTGTTGGACAGTCGCGGAGTGTGGGTAAAGTGTACATCCACTGCAGTGTGAGTAAACCAAATCTATTCGAATAGCCGTGCTCGCGGTTATTGAGCACCGGGACATGTATTACACTTGGCTAGACTCTAAATTCTTAACCTGTGTGGGATGGGATATTGCATGATGATTTTTATGCTGATGGAGCCACCTCCTGAGAGGAGGGAAGGTGGACGTCCTCAGAAAAACATGGCGACGCAATGGCAGGATGCTATCCTTGGGATCACAATGGATGGTGGACAGAACCGTCGTTGTTTAATGTGAACACTGGTATTAAAACTTGATCAGTCTATGCTAGGTCTCAGGCTTGTGAAAAGATTTGCAAAAGCTTGCTTTACGCAAAAGAACCTGGAGCCCTTCCTTGAAATACCCTCTATCATATGCATTGTTGTTGTGGTGGCTTGCTGAGTACGGTTGGTACTCACCCTTGCTATTTATATATCTTTTAGGAGAGTGTTGAAGAGAAGCCCTTGTCGGTACGCTTGCGTATCCAACAAGATGATCGGAGTGCGGTCTGGTTCTAGGTCTCGTTCCCCAGTCGACTGCCTGTGGCATGTTAACCGGGCCCTTATATTATTTTGTCTTCCGCTGTTGTTCTCTGATAGTTGTTGGCCTACCTAGCCCTAATGTAAGTATTTAACTCTTTTAGCCTGAATTCATTCATGATATATTGTGATCCAACTATGTATGTGTGTACCAACTACTGATCCAGGGATTGGTACGGATAAACACAGAAGATTTCCGATTTCCAAAATCGGGGGTCTACAGGCGGCGAGCGTGCAGGTGTTCAACAGCAGGTCCTCCGGCTCCAGCGGCACCCGGCGTTGATCCAAGGCAGCAGCAGCAGTAGAGGCGGCCCGAGTCACAGCTCCCGCGGTCAAGGCACTGTCTCCGGCTTCAACTCATGGCAATGGAGGAACGCATACAAGGTGTTCGACGAAATGTATTTGATAAAAAGGGCAGAGAGGGATGGGGTTTTTATGGGGGTTTGGCTTGGGGATAAGCCAGAATGGCATGGAGGATAAGGTCGATGACAGGCGCGCTCGATGGCTGTCTACGACCTAGGTTTAGGGAGGTTGACGCGGCTAAGCTTTCCTGCTCCTATGATTCGGGTTCAATGAATCGGCTTGGAATGATAGCCTATATGGTAGGGTGGCAGGGAAGGAATCGATAGCTGGGGAAGGAACACAGCATTATCCAATGGTCTCAGCTAGGGGCGACGAGATGGTGATGCAATGGCGACATGATTGGCAGCGACGGGCAGTGGTAATGGCCTCTGATAGGGAGGTGCAGGACTATTTTCTAGGGTGACGCCGGGCGACGTGGCGTTCGTTATCCCTCAACTTCGATGGCGACTTGCTATGGGACGAGGTGACACCAGCGCGCATGGCGGCACAACTATTTGTGGAAATCCGGCGGCTCGATCGGGTGACGGGGCCCACACGAGCGTGGCGCGATGAGGCGCGGCGCATGGTCATGCTTGGTGCAGCGCACGGGCTGGGAAGGCGCGCGCGTGGCTCAGTAGCGATCGGGGAGGAGCAGCGCTGGGTCGGGAAGAGTTCGGTCTAGGCTAGATGTACCTAATTAGCAATGCGATATATTTGTTTGCTTTTAACAGAAAAGCTTTCCAACGCTTTAATTGTATTGTCCGCTAACCAAAACAAAACAGTTTCTTTGCTTGATGCTTACATACATCTGTCGAAGCAACCATGGTTACCTTGCTTGTCTCCAAGCGGCGCGCCATTGGTGCGCCCCAGGCTCTAGTGTAATTCAAGATCAGCGACGATCAGGATAGAGGGCGACTGCGTAGCTTCCGTTCGCTAATGAATTTTTTAGGACGCTTTGTGTAGTTGTGTTCGTATTAACGATATCAGAGATACGATCGGCAACAACATCAAATACGGTAGACACAACGTAGATTGCATCGACTTTAATGGTGGCCCACCGCATTAAACCGAATTAATTAAATTTTAAGATCTACAATGATTGGATTTATTCAATCAACGGCTAGATTTTTCTAATTAACGTGAGAGCTAGTAGAAAGTACCCAATTAGTTGATTGGCAACAACATCAGATACGGTAGACGCAATGTAGATTGCATCGACTTTAATGGTGGCCCACCGCAATAAACCAAATTAATTAAATTTTAGAGTAAATTTTACAAAACTACATGTATTTTGCACAATTTATCACAAAACTATAGATTTAAGAGCTTATTTCACAAAACTATAGATTTATAGATTTATTGTCTTCGTTTATTACAAAACTACACGTACTTTATACAATCTATCACAAAACTACATATTTAAAAACTTGTTTCACAAAAATATAGATTTAGTGTATTCGTTTATCACAGTGCTACACATTTAGTGTCTTCATTTATCACAAAACTACAGATTTAGTGTCTTCATTTTCACAAAACTATACGTTTTATTGTTGAAACGTATAGTTTTGTGAGAATGGAGACGCTAAATCTATAGTTTTGTGATAAATGAAGATATTAAACCTGTAGTTTTGTAAAACAAGTTCTTAAATCTGTAGTTTTGTGATATATTATTCAAAGTACATGTAGTTTGTGATAAACGAAGACATTGAATCTGTAGGTTTGTGAAACTAGTTCTAAAATATGTAGTTTTACGATAGATTGTGCAAAGTATATGTTGTTTTATAAAATTTAAGATCTACAGTTGTGATGATTGGATTTATCCAATCAACGGCAAGATTTTTCTAATCAAGGTGAGAGCCAGTAGAATGTACCAATTAGTATAGATATGGATAGATAAATACTAACAATTAATCTAACCAATTCTTTTTTTAAAAAAAAATTATATGACTATTAAGCCAGATATAAGTAACAGATCTAATTATATCTAGAACTAGTTGGTACCCCTCCGCGTGTCGTAGACTCTTCAGACCTTCCATTATAATTGAGAGATGAAATGAATAATTCAAGTTATCAAACAAATATAATGAAATATCCGACGTCTCGAGAGAGGAATATTGGAGACATTGCTAGGCTTTTAGCCTGCCAGTCAACTTCAGCCTGAGATGTGCCCATCGAACCACTCGAAGGCGGCGACCAGATGTGTTACAAATTCAGGAGACTTGACAAAATAGCTAAAGATCTACAACATCTCAAATATTCTTAACTCATACTCATGTGAATCTAGCTCCTAGGATGTGCACTAGATTCACACTTTCATCCTAAGCATGGGTATACATAGCACACACAATAAGATGAAAGCGATTAAAATTTACAACTAATTTAGAGATACATAGGTCGATCGGCCAAATAGACTTATTAGAGAACAGCGGAAGCTTAACTACCCATTCACAAGCACATCGACTAGGGGTTCACCCCATTTAAGTTCTTATCCTAGAAGAAGCAGAAACCCGCATCACTAAGCAACTAAATATATACTTGGAAGCAAAAGGTTATATCAACAACAAAAGTCAGTATATTACACACGTTAATGTACTGGCAAGCACAAGTCAATCCTAGCATACTACATGTTAAGGCATATATTCAAAGTAAGACTATATGTAGTTCAATTTCAGCGTAAAGTAAGTTTTGTTTCGCAATTCTTTTGTAAAGGATTTGACGCTTCAATTAACAAAAACAAATTTTAAGTTTCAACATTAAGTTCTTCATAATTCCATCATAATCAATCTCTTGATATCATCCTTGATAACAAGTCATAATATATTACCACATACACAACTCAACACATTTTATCCTTGATAACAAGTCACATGTTCACATTTTAAAACATAGAGTCTGTACTCATGACACTTCACCAAAGCGCTCATGACCGTGAGCACGGTTAATCGATTAGTTTTTAGAACTCTGCAGAGTTTGTACAGCTTTACCCACATGATATGAACTCTCTAGTTTGTTTTGAGTTTGCAAGACTCCACCACACTCTTCATGATGAATGTGGTCTAGAGGTCATAACGAAGCCTTTAAACTACTTAGAGCCTAGCCTTGCACCAGCACGATACGTGTTCCTCTATCCTAGGCATACTTCGAATATGCCTAGAATCGTTAAGTGGCGGGCCCATGCCTTAAACTTAAGGCCGTGGTGGCGGACACGATGGGAACCCACCAAGTGGCACAATACCGTTGTATTGGACAGACTTAGTCACCTAAACTACCACGTCGGGGTCAATAGTAAGTTCCTCTGAATCATCGACTAATTCCTCAGAATTATCGACTAACTCATACACACCGGCCTACCAGAATGCAAGGCTAGTCCTAAATAGATTAATCAGCCTAGGCCATCCCATACTAGCACATGTAGATATACAAATAACTTTAAGTGGGTGACACAAGTTCAGTTCTTACGGACTTGGGCAAACACTCCCCCTATCGGTATGCAACAAACACTATATACACATCACTTGCCGCCCAAGTCTAAATTCACATTTTAGTTCACAAATACCCATCACATTCATTTTATTCCAGCAAAGGTTCATGTGTCAAAATCACATTTTAATCATAGATGGAATAAGCATTTGCATATTTCTAAGCATGGCTAAGCAAGTAGTTGCACATAGAACATATATAAACTCATTTGAGCTCAAAGAGAGTACTCTAACCTAACCATTTATAGGGGTTCAAATAGAAAGGATCACAATTATTCAAGGTAGGGTATGCAGCAAATAGGTCATAACTACCTTATCCCAATTTTAAATACCGATATAGTCTAAATTTACATGCAACTTTGCAAACAAACATTTTCATTCCTCAAATCATGGGATTCAATGTGTTCAAAGGATGGGAGGAGAAAAACTTGCCTTGATATTGAGAAATGTTAGCACCTAATCCACTCCTTCACCGTTTATGCATTTATCTAAATAAATACATGTTATGCAATTAAACACCGAAAGAGCTGAAAATCCAAAATACTGTAAAATGCATGATTTGTGTGCATGATTTGTGCACAGTGATTAGGTATTGGTCTAAAATGAATTTATGTGAAATAATTTCTATTTTATCTTATTTCATTTGAGAGTTATGAATTTTAGAAGTTATGATATATAGTAGTATTGGCTTAGGTAGCATTATGAAATATTTTTGCCAAGTGATTTTTATTAGATTAGACTTCACAGGGGTGTAGTGGTGTGTTTTCTAAGACTAACACAGTTCATTTCACAATTTTTGGAGTTACTATGAATTCCTTATATATTTTACAATTTATAACGTGTTCTAGGCATATAGTCTCTATGTGTACATGGCTTTAGAAGTTTTATGTACAGAACATGTTCTATTTGCTAGAGATGTATTAAAAATGAATATTTCAGTTAACCAATCTAATCTTAGTTTATAATTTTAGACTTTATATTACTCTACTACATATTTTATAAGCTAGGGAGTGTCCTATGTTAGTAATGTAACATATCAACCTAGAAATTGATATATGAGCTAAGTGTGTGATGTGACCATGGCTACTATGGATACGACCATTGCTCACATCATGAATCAACAAGAAGACATCAAGATCAAGTCCTCCATGTGCTGCAATCTGATTCGGGCACGTGTTACATTGCTGACTTCAAACGGCCACCAAATCTACATACGTGCTCCGTTTTGGGCCCGTGAGTACTTGATGGAAAGCTCTCGAAGTCCTCCTTCCAACGGATCCAGCCTCATCTCGGAAATCTATCTCGTTTGGCCGCAATCACAAAAGCAAGGTGTTGCGTCTCCTGTATTGGGCCAATGGGCTTGTAACTTTGTTTGGGACCCTGGCCCATGTGGGGCCCATGTGGGGTGCGCCCCAATCTGGTGGAGCACGACCCTTGGACCCTCTTGGTCGTCCTCCCACCTCTATAAATAGTTAGGTACCCCTTCAGGGTTTCTTGGGTTTTGTTAGATTAAAGTTTAGCCATTGCTACTTGCTTGCAGCGCGCGTGTCGGCTAGACCGTCCGTCTGCTTGTTCTTCAGAACCCCACTTATCATTTGTATTAAATTCCTATTTGCAATATCAGATTGCTTTATTCTTGTTCTTGCTTGTTTCTTCGATTTGCTTGCAGGAATAGGGTTGATCTGCACCGGCAAGATCAACAACCCACGGAGAGGTGTATCGATCGCTAAGGCGCAACACAACGTCTCGTACGGTTGTAGTCGGATCGTCAACGTTTCTCCCAAATCGTAGTTATCACAACTCACCGAAAGATCGGGCCAACAACAGCCTTGAGTGTTGAGAGGAACTCAGGGTTCATCAGGTGGTATCAGAGCTTTCGTTTCTCAGTGAGTTTTTATCTTCCTATAACCAGAAAATAGCCATACAAAAAAATTGTATCATTTACCTAGCCATATTGTGTCGTTGCATTGTTCTTTTCTGTTTTTGCTTTGTTGAATTTTGTGTTGCATTGTCACGTCGTGTTGCTGGTCTTAGCGTCTAGTTCGTTTAGAGTTTCGAGTTCTGGTCACGTTTTGTACCACAGTCGTCGCTGCCACCGTGTCTCTGTTGTTGTCGAGACCTACGAAAACGGAATCGGCTCGCTGCCACGGTTCTATTTTTGTAGTTTTCAGAAGTTTCTGTCGGTTAGTTTTGGAGTTCTTGAGTTGCATCTAGAGTTTGCCGATCCTTGTGTGTGTTTGTTTTGGCCGTGCCTGTGTCGTGCACGAGAGGAGGAAGGTGAATTACCATATCTGATTTTGGAAGTAGTCAAGTTTGTTTTGGAAAGATATAGTAGATTGGATTGGTTAAAAATCAGTTTCCTTTTTATCCCATACACCAAATTCGGCTGCCATTCACTCCACCTCCTGGCCGAGTCCCACTCGCCCCTTTGGCCGAGTCCGACTCCCTCCCTCTCTTCCACCGTTCCGAGTTGTGTCAAACACCTTGGCGAATTTTTGTTTGGTGTCGGTTTCGAGATCTGTTTGGAAAAACGGAACCGGCATAAATTCAGCATTCCATTTTTTTGTATAATTTTAATTTTGGGTTTAGACTTTTACATTTGAGTCCCTATAAATTTTATATTTATGTTTGAGTCCCTGTAATCTTACATTAAGGTCCTTGAGTCAGTTTTTGTTAAAAAAAATAAGAAAAAAAGTGAGAAAAAAAAAGGCAGAAAGGTGCAAAAAAAAAAGAAAAAAAAAGCCGCACCAAAAAAAAATCAGAAAAGAAAAGGAAAAAAAAAAAGAAAAGAAGAAAGAAGAAAGAAAGAAAAGAGAAAATATTGTTTTGTTTGAGCTGAACTTCATACATCAAAGTGTGCTTGAGTTGTTTCTGGTGCTATTTTGTGGTACCGTTTGTGTCTAGGCTCGTGTCTCTAGTACGTTCTAGCCTAGGACCAGCACGGTACTTGACTTTGAACAATTATTCAACTTTGCGTTCTCTGATTTGAGCATTTGCTATTCCTTTGCTACATATTTAAGCCTACCCAGAGCTCCACAGATTTGATTGCAGCCGTACAGCAAGTGTTTGCCGAGGCATCGATATATCCAACCTCTATTGGGGTGCTTGGTTGAGTCGGTGTACATCACCATTCCACTTGCATTGGTAAGATCTTGTAAGAGCTTGGTTAAAAGCTTGAGTGTGTGTGAGATTTGAGCTGCCAGTACCTAGTAGTTGATAGGCGCGTGTATATTCTTGTGTATGTTTCTTGTTTGCTGCTAACCATGGCAGGATTGCGCAAGGGGAAACAAGATGGTCATGCTCAACGTCAACATCTACACCTTCGACGAGATATGACGACTTCTTCACGTGATGCATATGAGGTACATGACTATAATTTTGCACAAGTTGCATGTAAGTTACCAGTCTATGATGGAAAGTATGATTCCGCTGCATACATTAGTTGGGAGCTAGCAGTAGAAAAACAATTTGATGAGTATGATTTTTCTAATGCTCAAATGATTAAGGCTGCTAGTAATAAGTGTACCGGTTCTGCATCTTTTTGGTGGCATACTGTGGGGAATAAGCTTGAAACTTGGGATGAATGTAAAATACTGATGAGAAAAAGATTTGTGTTTTCATACTATAGACGTGCTCTCCTTGAGAAATGGGAACATCTAAAACAAGGTGACAAAACTGTTAGGGAGTACTTTCATGATTTTAAAATTTGTATCACTTATAGTGGTTTACAAGAATCTAATGAGAACACAATGACTAGATTTTTCAGAGGGCTTAATTTCAATATTCAGGCTGGGCTTGTTAATGTGACATATAATCATATAGGCCAATTGTTCATGCTTGCTTGCATTGTTGAGCGCAAAATTTTGGAGAATCCAATGGAGCAACAAGATATGCTTGTGCCTCCTATCACTGATGTTTTGCAGGAAGTTCAGAAAAGTCTCCAAAATGAGAAGAACGATATGTTTGAGATGTCACTTCCATCACTCGCGAATGAGGAGAAGGCTGATGCAGCTACATTATCTGAAGAAAGTTCGCAAGGTAAATTAAATGGTGCTGAGAGAAATGAAGGTGAGTATTCTCAAGGTGAGCTACACTTGTCCACTTTTCATGCTATAGTAGAGCAACCATTAGTGGAATCAATTACTGAGTTGCCTTTGTCACAAGTTGATTTACTTGCTGTTCCTTGTGATAAAGAAGAGTTGTGTGATAATGTTTCACTTATATCCATGCCACAACTAGTGAATGAACATGTTAGTTCTACTATTTCTTTGTGTGCTGATTCTAAGCATGTTGTTCACATTGCTAATGAAGTAGAGGAACGCGAATTGCTACCTTCTTTAAATACTTTGGGCTATGTTCAGTTTGATGATTTTTGTGAGCTCGATAATTTGAAGGAGAAATTATTTGCTAAATCTGATTTGCCATGTCCAACTAATGCTATTTTTCATATCTTTGGCGAATATAATGATAGAGGAATATTTTTGGTGCATAGAGTTTACATTTGTTCAGATTTAGAACATCTTGTAGTTCCGGATAAAATATGCAAGCTAGAGAGACATGTTACTGCTAATCATATTGTCTCGAGTTTGTCTTGTTTTGATTGCAAGAAACAGGTTGTTTTCAGTGGACTGCGCGAAGAGCACCATATGGAAAAACCGAGGACAGTTTTCTGTGAAGAAGGGGAGGATGATGTGACCATGGCTACTATGGACACGACCATTGCTCACATCATGAATCAACAAGAAGACATCAAGATCAAGTCCTCCATGTGCTGCAATCTGATTCGGCCACGTGTTACATTGCTGACTTCAAACGGCCGCCAAATCTACATACGTGCTCCGTTTTGGGCCCGTGAGTACTTGATGGAAAGCTCTCGAAGTCCTCCTTCCAACGGATCCAGCCTCATCTCGGAAATCTATCTCGTTTGGCCGCAATCACAAAAGCAAAGTGCTGCGTCTCCTGTATTGGGCTAATGGGCTTGTAACTTTGTTTGGGACCCTGGCCCATGTGGGGCCCATGTGGGGTGCGCCCCAATCTGGTGGAGCACGACCCTTGGACCCTCTTGGTCGTCCTCCCATCTCTATAAATAGTTAGGTACCCCTTCAGGGTTTCTTGGGTTTTGTTAGATTAAAGTTTAGCCATTGCTACTTGCTTGCAGCGCGTGTCGGCTAGACCGTCCGTCTGCTTGTTCTTCGGAACCCCACTTATCATTTGTATTAAATTCCTATTTGCAATATCAGATTGCTTTATTCTTGTTCTTGCTTGTTTCTTCGATTTGCTTGCAGGAATAGGGTTGATCTGCACCGGCAAGATCAACAACCCACGGAGAGGTGTATCGATCGCTAAGGCGCAACACAACGTCTCGTACGGTTGTAGTCGGATCGTCAACGTTTCTCCCAAATCGTAGTTATCACAACTCACCGAAAGATCGGGCCAACAACAGCCTTGAGTGTTGAGAGGAACTCAGGGTTCATCAGTGTGCCAAGTTTTGGTGGTTCCATCCCAATTGATATATGAGCTAAGTTTGCCAAGTTTTGGTGGTTAGGGATGGAACGTATGGTTTCTCTGGTCCAACAAGTTTTATTTAGGTTTATTTAGAGCTAAACTGCATATATATACTTATATATATCTATGTATTGCTTTGACAACACGTTTAAACTTTTATTTCACTAAATTAAGGTTTTGAACTTTGTTCTCTACAAAAGGTGCCAAATTTTATTTTATTATGTTGAAGTATGCAATTTGCTGGTTTTATAGAAACTTAGTTCATTCTAATTGAACAAAAGATAAATTTTCTATAAATCGTACAAATTAAAGGTTGCCCTAGGTTGGTTATTCTTTACATAAATATTTAGGAGCTATTATTATACAGTAAGAATATATTTAAATTTTACAACTTGGAAGTACATATCTTGGTGATCCTACAGAACTTGAGTTTACTCAAAAATGAGTTGAAATGAATTTTATATAAACCTTTAAAGTTCAGCTTATCTAAATCTCAATATTTTATAAAGATAATAGTTTTAGAGGCATTTGGCATAAAGTAAGTATATGCTTTTATTTCTCCTAACCAGAGAGTGTAAGTTGATGAATCTGTGGAACTTAAGTTTGTTCAAAAATAAGTTGAGATGAATTTTATATGCATTTTATAAGTTTGTACATGCTTTATGTGTGATTTATCTTAGATAAATTTTAGAGACAAAATTTGTACAGTGTGTGAAAGTTTTTATTTCATAACATTAAAGTTCATAACTTAGTGAGTTCACACAAACTCGAATCATCTCAAAAAGAGTTATATTTGATTTTATATGGATTTTACAAGGTTTAGGTACTTTTCTTATATAATCTCAGATTTTGTTTCTAGGGGTCAACTGTCAGTCCTATGGCCAATATGCAAAAAAGGCCCTTGAGATTTCTAGAAACCAACCCGCAGTCCTAGGCCCATATGTCAGTGTTTAGTATGTTTGCATATTGAACCTTATATTTATTTAAATTCTCAAAACAAAGTCCCTGCGACCTGGACAGAAAAGAGCGCCATGGCCGAGCTCGATCTTGAGCTCGCCGGCAACAAACGATGGCTCGTTTGGGGGTGCGACCAAAAGACAAAATGAAGATCATGTTATTGCGATTCCATTCACTTTTATCGGTTAGTGGACATCGGAGTAACGCCGGCGGCGAGTCCGAGTGGAGGATGGTTTCGGGTGGTGCTGCATGTGACCTTAGGGGCCGGATCTAGATGAATAAAGTGCATGCATGCGACACTAAAGCCTCAAGGATGCTCACTGTGAGTCTAGCGAGGTTTGCCGAGGTCTTGGCGGTAGCGGTGGCTTGCGGAACGGCTTGGCGACGGCGCTCTACTCCGGTTGAACGGCGTCGGCTTGATTCCTTCAATGGACTGCCATACATGTATGTCCATGAGATTAGTGAGGTCCCATGGATGCTACTGATGCATGGAATTGGATTGGGACTCACCGGAGGAGGTGGATTCGGCAACGGCGACGGTGACCGGAGGTGAAGAAGACGGTGGCCGATCTCCGCACTTGCTGCGCCATTGCCTGGGATTCTTGAGGAGAAGACGTTGGTGCGACGGCTCGGCTTGGCTTGGTCTACAGCGGTCGGAACGACGACGATGTCGGCTGCGGGGATGCTTGGAGCGCGCTCCAGAGCTCCCGTAGACGAGGTCGCGTTCCCGTCGCTGCAGTGGACGAAACATGATGGAGTCAAAAGAGGATTTTCTCGGCGTGGAAAGAAGAGTATGGAACGGAAAAGAGTTGATGTCGAACGCGGCTTGACGTCGATGGAAGCTTTCATCTTTTTCACGGCCGGCGACGAGTTCTTGGGTGATGGTAAGTCCGAGGGCTCTCTCTCTCTCGGTTTGGTGACTTTGGTCGGCACTAGAGTGAGGAGTGAGGATGGGCGATGCGGCTGGGAGGAGAAGGAGGCTCGGCTCGGCGTTGCCACGTCTCGGCCACGCGTCGCGCGCGCCCAGTGCCGGTCGGCACCGCTTCCTCCTCGCTCTCTCTTTCCCTCAGGCTCCGTTTGGCTAATGGTTATACCCATTGGGAAATAGATATGATATCCTGGTAGGATGTGGTGGTAATTGATATGAAGAGAAATTTTATCCCATGTTTGGTTGGATGGATTGGAAAAGGAAGTTTTTAGAAGAATGACCAAAATACCCCTTCAAACTATGCTAAATGAGTAAACAAACAGCACAGCTATAAATTCAAATGGTGAGGGTAATTCAGTAATTTTCCCTAGCAGTCAATCCACCCTCAATCAAGCAGGATTCTATATCCCACTCCCATCCACACCCAAACGGTGGAAATATGAAAAATGGAAATAACATCCATTTCACACACTCCTCATCCCATTTGCCAAACGGAGCCTTAGTGTCTTTTGGTCGGCTGGGGAACAGATACAGAGATGGGGTGACCTAGGGACGATGACAGGTGGGTCCAGGGCGATGGTTGCTAGGTGGGTGAGAGTGGTATGGGTAGAGATTGAGTGAAAGTCGATTTTCAATTATTTACAGGATTTATTTCTCTTCCCCATCTTTGTTAATTCATAGATTAATTTGTGGACATTATGTATTAGTGTGGATTTTTCTGGAGGTAGATGAAGATACTCAGATTCCATTTTCTTTGGTTGCACTCAAGAATTATGGATAGATTACACACAGAAATTAGAAGAAGATGGGCTCATTGGAAACTAGTTTGGATTTTTAGGAGACAGAGAAGATAAATTCTGGAAAAATTATATTTATTCATGATAATTAACCTAGTATTTGAATAAATTATTTCACTCATGCACTTCTATACAGTCTAATGCATATTTTAGTTAGGTATTGTTTTTGCCGATTAAGAACTATATTTAGTCTATTGTTTGGTTTGACTTATTTATTTAAGGTACAAATTTAGTTAGTAAATTATACCAAAATTACAGTGAGTTGCATGTGTTCAGTAGAGCCTGCATGAATTTTCCCATGATTTTATCTTGCACGAATTATTTTAGATAATTAGCAAGACTTACCTCTTATATGTGTATCCCTTTCCTAAATGCATGTAAATGTTTATAAAAGTTTTATTTGGACTCTTCTTAACCTAAGGTGATGTTGATATGTTAGAATTACAGTTTACCTTACACATGTCATAAGCTTCTTACCTATTTATGAATAAGTTTACTTTAGTATTAAATTAAGAGAATGCTTATAGACATGATTAAGATAGAATAATATACCTTGTATGAGTTATTTTATTTGTTCACTTCCGTGTTCATGACTTTTCTTTAGATGGATGACCAAATTAGTTTAGTGAGGCTTGGTATTGGCCTTGTTGATATATTTTAAGGTGTATTATGGTTCCTATGTATTATTTTCCATTAGTTAGAACTAGGCCCTAATGGTTTAGTTGTTTGTCTAGATTGTAATTATATTCATGAGACCTATTATAAAATGAAAATCGAAAATCCAAATGCATATGGACTCAAGTCTAAACATGTCCAATGAGAGTATGCATGCTTACACATAGGTTTACATTTTTATCCTAGGTTATAAATGAAAAAGTTTTAATTTGTCATAGAATTTTATTCATGCAAGAGTTAGATCAAATTTACCTAGGTTTAAAATGGAAATTTTTGGTCCACAAAATTGAAGAACTTTCCTTTCAACTAGTTTTGATGGAAATTCCTTAATCCTAGAATTCGGGTATGTTACACTGCGGGACATCTATATATATAATTAAAAGATGCAATTCTATAATTTATATCGTCTACGATAGGAGTACTTTGGCTACAAAATGAAACATATGGAGATATAAACATTTGACGTAATTGTGTTGCTATGAAAAGAAATAACATGAATTCCACTTAAGATAATCCAATTAGTAAGAATCATGGAAGCCAGCAAACATGAGTATCTTTATCATGTACTCCCTCTGTTTTTTTTTCATGTTGGTTAGTTCAAAACAATGTAAATAAAATGGAGAGTATTAAAATGACTAATTAATATTTAATTGACTTGATTGTGATATTTTAACAATAAAGAGAACATGATTTTCTGCGAGACGACAAATTAAGAGAAAATACCGATAGCTACTACATGATACATGATCTTAAAAAATAATTGTTGAGTACATCAATATGGTAATGATTTTTCCGGAAATATGTTCATCAATGAGTGAATGAGAGGAACTGTGTGGAGACTAAATTGGCAATGCCAAATTATGATCTATCTATCGAATTAAACAAAGAAGCTGACAAATCTTTTTAAATATGAGTTGCCAAATAAAAAGAGATGGACAAATCTTTTTCTAGTTCATATTCCAATTCAGTACACCATACAAACATGCATTTCCTTCATGAACCCCACATATGTATGCATTTCCTTGTCTAACTATCTGCAACAATATACATAGAAAAAACTGTTATGATTTATATCGAAAGAGTCAAAGTATAGTTCTATATGATATGTAATGAAAAAAAAAGCTTTATGGATGGAAGTAAAATTCTATGGAATACAAGATAAGCGAAGTTAGTATGAAACAGTCCTAAAACACAAATAAAAAACATGCAGAGCAAGGGCTGGAGAAGAGGGGAAAAAAGGCAATGGTGAACCACATGCAGATGATGGATGTGCTGTGAAGAGGCTGTCTATGAAGCAAACAATGAATGGCCAACATTGGAGAGGTAAAGAGCCGTGGCTGTGCTGGAAGGATTTTCCTATGCATGACAGCATGAGGCTAGGTAGCTGATCCAGAGGAAGATCAACGTCCCGCATACATATAGTGCAATCCAAATTGACTCTTCAAAAACAATGTCAGTTTCTATATCAGCCACAGATAATACAACCTGTGCATAATTACATAGATCAGCCACAAATAATAGAATATGTGCATGTATATTACAACAGTTTCGGAAGGCGGAAGATCAAACGCATGGGCCGGGCTGGAGTGGGAGGCTAGGAGTCCATCTGGTTTACATGCATTTTGGCCTTTATTAGCAATTCTGAATGGCCCTTGAATGGACAATTCATGCATGCTTGTTAAATCAACATGGCAATTGATCCAATGGCTCCAATGTGCTAGAACCGGCGGCTCTAATGCGCTGATGATGTGGCTTAACGTGGAGCTTGCTTTATAGGAGTTAATGCTTATAGTGGGTATCGATTATATAGAACTACTATTAGGAGCGCATCATTTCAAGCGCCAAACATGCAGCAGCCCAGGCCCACCCCACCCCACGTCCCGTCATCCCACTCCTACCGTTGTTGGAGTAAACGATTTACTCCTATCACTCGCCTCAACCACACACCTTTATTCAATTAAACGATTTACTTCGATAATAAAAATAACTCCCTAGCTTCCGATCCCACCCTACGTCCTGCATCGTGCTCCTGCCATTATCGGAGTAAATGATTTACTTCGATAAAAACAACTTCTCTACTTCCGGTATATATTCTATTTTTCCGTACCCAACTAACCACTCTCGCCCCCATTTCATTTTTTTCCTTTTTTTTCAGATCTGAATTGATCCACCATCCCAGCCCACAGATCGGCGACACACCATGGAGGAGGACGACGACACCGTGGCAGTTGATGGCGGTGGCCGGCAAGCGGCGGCCGGCGGCGGTTGAGGCGAAGGCATTGCTTCGGGCCTCGCTGCCGGACGCTGGGCAACACCTTAACTAGCAAGGAGGTGTTCAACTGGGCCAATAGCAACAACCAGCGGCTGCTCCACGTCGGCGACATTGATAGAACAAGCAAGTAAGGAAATGACACTCTGATTTGCATCTGCATACTCTCCTTCAACTTCACGCATGAAGCCCCATTTTTTTTTTGCAAATCAAATTAACGTGCAATCTCCAATATTACCTGATCTCAATTGATGGGCTGCACAGGTCCTACATTTACACATCGTGCTCCATGTGGCTGGCCGCAGAGGATAGGATGGAGTCCGCCGGTGATAGAGGTTGTTTGCTATTTTTCTTTTGCTCTATTGACATGAACGAGAATGTTTTTGCATTTTTCCGTGCTTGCTAGATGATGGATGGCTGCTACTGCACAAAGTCGTGCTCATCTCTATACCACACCGCTACATCCTTCCATGATTCCATCATCGACTACTGCTCACCGCCCGGTTGCCCTCTGCACTACCAGTCACAAGACACAGACCGTGCTCTTCATCCTTATAGCAAGATCCAACAAAGCCACCAGATGGATTTTTGGCTGAATCATTTTATCGCTTGAGTGTGATTGAGCCTATAATTTTTTCATTCATACGACTATTTTGTGATACAGATCAACAATACTCTTAGTATCAGTTTTTACTCTTATATTGTATATTAAACACATCAATAAACATATTACTACATGGTGGCTACGAGATCATGGCTATATCGAGAGGAAGGTGGTAAATGTTGTTGACGGTCGTTAGCAATCAGTTTCGACCATCAATATTACCAAAATAGAGGAGAACTAGTTATGCTTGCAATGATATACATGTTAGAATAATAATATTCCACTAGTATTTGGTTCACTAACCCTTTTGCAGAGAATAACCATAAAGTGGAGGAGAATCGACATCAACTTAGACGATAAATCAATCGGACGATGTTAAGAATCAGACTTATGTATGAATGGGCCAAGAACTCAGAATTGACACGACGAATTGGGCCAAAATTCACAAGTCTACGAAAGAGAGCAACGGAGGAGGACACCTGCCGATTTTGGGCCAGGTTGGACCAGCCCATGGTTCGGCCGAACCATTGGGTTTGGCCGAACCCCCCGCAGCGCCGTTTGATCCAGGTTTCTCCTGGACGGCTGAGATGGCTCCCCAATGATGGTTGGTGGGTATTACCGACCTTTCCAACCGTCACAACCATCATTCTCAAGCTATAAAAGGAGCTCTCATCCTCACTTCACTCACACACCTCAAGCAAGAGCTCTCTCATATTCTCTCAAGTTTAGTTAGTGTTATCTAACTAGTGGAATTGGAATAGAGTAGAAATCAGGAGTCCAGAAGTCTTCGGAAGAGTTCGGGTATGGCTCTGGTAGCTCTTCTCTTCTCTTTTGTATGCTTTGTACTTTATTTAGAATACTCTTCTTTATACATTTATGGCATTGAAATACTTTTCGAGTATATGAATACCTACTTTACATTATTTTCATGTTATACTGATTATACTGCTAGGTTATCTGGGAGATGTTTTGGTGCGGGTATAATGTTTGCTTATGCAATTACTCTATGTCATGACGATGATATTATAGTAGTATCTGGTAGTTCAGACGTGGTGTCTAGATTACGGGATATCATTATTTGGGGTTATATGCTGTGGATGAGAGGTGGGCCGCTGATGGTGACAGCTCAGTACGAGTATTCCTCCGTGCGTGTATATAGTCCTAAGTTAATTCTCTAGGGAGGGTACTCCTCTATATTTAGCCCCGGTTGTATGGTCATGATGGGCTGTCGTAAGGAACTCGGCAGTCAGGGGTGGCTTCTCGAAGTACCAAGAAGGCATCAGATAGAGGGTATTAGTTAGTATATCAGATAGCTAGAATGTATATGTATACTAGAAGTATAGGAATATATTATCTTTCTCTTTTCTTTCCACTTAGCTTAGATATTTTATTATGAGAATGAGTAGCTTAATACTTGTGTGTCACTCTACCCTTGGATTATTTTAACCCCTACTTAGGATATGATTATCATAAGTAATATATATATTATTAGTCAAGTTCTCTATATCATGATCTTTCCACGGGATTAAATAAATACAATACCCTTGGAATACTTTCGAGTTAATCGCTACAATGGTATAACCGTGCGCTTGCCGATAAACTCTGTAACCATAATATACCAGGAGTATTTCTGCGCCATTGCTGGGAATTATATTTCTAGTAATGTCGTTAAGAAATACCAACAATTGTTTTACTCACAGACCATGAAATCTCAGTTTTTACTCTTATACTGTGTATTGAACACATCAATAAACATATTACTACACGGTGGCTACGAGATCATGGGCTATATGGAGAGAATGGTAATAATTGTTTTACTCATAGACCACAAAATCTAAACAATATTTATAATATTGGTAAAAGAATTATTAGCCATTCGTGTAAATTTGTTACTTTTAAATGAGCAGATGTGGGACGATGGGAGTAAACGAAAAACTCCACGGAGTAAATTCGTTACTTTTGAAACGTGCGGAGATACTAGAAAAATGGAAACTCGGAAAGAAAAACTAGACGGTAAATATTCTACTAAAACGCAAAAACAGAAAAACTACAGAGAAGGAACAAAAAACAGACAAATCTGCATGGTTAATATTTCACAGGGCCCATTGATAATATACGGATTGGTTAATATTTCACTGGGCTCATTGATAATATACGGATTAGATGGAAAAGAGAAAAAATAAACACGGAAAGTGGAGTGGTAAAAAAGAAAAAAAATGAACCGAGAAAATGTGGGATGCGGAGGAAAGGTGGGGTGGTAAAAAACGGAAAAACCGGAAGGAGAGGGTATTGTGCGGTGCTCGAACTAATATTCCACGCTGTAGAGTGTGGAATAGCGCTACCGATCAATTATATAAGAAGAAAGGATCTGTCCCTAACATTAATTCTCCTCTTCCCCCCTCTTCTGATGTGGTCACATTCTCGCGTGCTCATTTGCAGAAGCGCTAAGCACCATTCTAACGTCGGACTCTGCTGAAGGCTGCACAGTGGATCAATATGGGCAAAAGACATAAAGACATGTAGACAAAATCATTGTCTTCTTGCTGGAGATATGATTCGCCATGAAAGTAAGCCAAGTTGTTGCGCTATTCTTTGCTTCGGTGGTACGTTGCCGACCATAGAGTCATAGACACGACAACAGTATTAGATTCCGGCAAATGTATTAACACTAACCCGAGCAAAGTGAAAGCCCAAAGCCTTAAAGCTCCAAACCCAAAGTGCAAAAGCAGTGGCCTAACCATAAGCTACATGGCCCTCACTCCTTAATTTACTTATTTGTCTTTAATTGGTTCTCGCACAGGCAAGCCACTGCATAACATGCAACAAGCTATCGATCAGTCACTTCCCTAGTTCCCTTGCTGCAGTTGCGTTGCACCAGTACCACTCAACAAACCAATGGAGATTCATCTTCATCTCCATTTCTTAGCGATCCTTGTAGTTGTGCCGATGTTGGGTAGCCCCGCCGCCGGTGGGCTCTGCCGCGACAGCTGCGGAGGCATCCCGGTGCGCTACCCGCTGAGCATCGACGACGGGTGCGGCAGCCCATACTACCGCAACATGCTGACCTGCGCCGACAACGCCACGCTCCGCCTCCGCACGCCGTCGGGCACGTACCCAGTCGTCGGCGCCGACTACGCGGACCCGCACCTCGTGGTGACGGACCCTTCCATGTGGACGTGCGAACGGCCCTTCACCTCCGTCCGTGCCGCGCCCTTCAGCCTGGACACCAGCACCCGCTTCTCGTTGTCGCCGAGGAACGACTACCTCTTCTTCGACTGCGACGAGGAGCGCGTGATCGTGGAGCCGCGGCCGGCGGTTTGCGACCGGTACCCTGAGCGGTGCGACTCGACGTGCGACAGCGCGGGGTACCTTTGCCGGAACCTGCCGGGTTGCCGGGGCGCGCTGGAGGAGAACAACATGAGCTGCTGCGCGTACCGGCCGCGAGCGGCGGAGTCGCTGCGGCTGATGCTGCGGCACTGCGAGTCGTACACGAGCGTATACTGGCGCGCGGTCGGGGACAAGTTCCCGCCCTACGACCAGGTGCCGGCGTACGGTGTGCGGGTGGACTTCGAGATCCCCGTCACGACGCGGTGCCTACAGTGCGAGGACCGGCGGCGCGGTGCGGGGGGCACGTGCGGATTCGACCCGGTGACGAGGGACTTCGTCTGCATCTGCAACGACGCTAGGAACTCCACCACGGACTGTGCAGGTGCGCTCGCCAAGTTCTCCCCTATTCAATCAGTATTTATAGGCCAAACAAGCAGTTACACTATGGTGCTGTTTGGTTGGAACATGGTAACCGTAATGGTCATGAAAATGATTGCAACAAGTGATTACATTAGTGCAGTCCCAATACATAATTTCTATAAACAATGTTTATAGTGACATGTTAATAAGACATCACAAAAGAAACTATACTCCACAACCCATGATTTCTTAAAGTGGGTCATTAATAAATACACCATCTCTCTTCTCTACCAATCATATTTATTCTTCATCTATTATGAAGACACTGTTCTCTCCCAATACAAAATTTGATAGTGTCTAGTGCATAGGTTCTTGTGTTGAAGCTGGGTCGAAGCTAGATCTTACATGAGACCCAGTTTCTTTCTCTCTTCACTCTCTCTTAATTAATATAGTACCACATAAACTAAAAGTCCTACATGGTAATGTAGTTAATGCCATAGAAACCATCCTAAGTGGAGGGTTGGGACTGCCCTTATATCCATTTGCTTCGTGATTTGTTTGGTTTCCCCATGTAAACCACTTCCTTTAGAGCGTTTAGATGGAACCCGTAACGAATTGAGTTTCTTATGAACGAAAATGAAATTTTGAATGGTGGGCTCGCAAATTCAGAAAGTAGCTGGCCATGAACAAAATAAATCCAAAATTCTCAACAGAAGGGGTAAGTACATTTTACCCCTCTTACCTATTGTATTTGCGTAAAATACACCACTCAGCTTTAAAATCTGACATCTAACACCCTAACTCCTAAAACCGTTTAGTTTACACCTTCAATAGGTGGTTTTAGCCTATACGACGCCTACATGGTTATGGTTATCCAGTCAGCAAACTTAAATTAAAAATCATTGGGCCCATATGCCAGTTCTACCACTCTTTTCTCTGTTCCTCTCCCCTCCTCTCTATATGCACGCAGGCCACCCAGCGACCGCCGACCAGGCGACCACCACCTCCAACACACCCAGCCGTGGGTTCGACCACAGTCCTCAGCGGCTCAGCGAGCGAGCTCGCCGCTGTCGTCTCCAACTTGCCTAGTGGTTGCTGAGACAGAGGTAACGCAGAGGCGACAACATACGGAGCTAGCATGAAGAATAGGGTTAGTGCAAAAGCCTGCTCCCACACCAACTACACCACCGGTTGCTGCTATTGCAAGTATGGCTCCCAATTCTAGTTTGTTGGTAGTCCAGTACCACTAACTACTACATTTGCACTAAGTCATAAACCCAATACCCACGTGTATCTTCATTATAAACACATGGATCGAGCACAGAGGCGAGTAGGGGGCTCACAGCGGCGATGGAGCTTGAGCTCCTCTCCGAGTCCCCAACAGCCTAGGAAAGGGGCAGGGGTGGTGACAGATGGGGAGGAAGAAGATAGAGTGAGTGAGTGACACGGATATGTGGGACCCCATCTCTCTCCCCCTCAAACATGGATATTTGCACATTTGGAGTCTGACATAGCATCAAACCAGCTAAAACTAAATCGGGGGTAAAGTGAACAGCATTAAAAGTAGAGGATTTTTACGGTACACTATAATGTAAGTATATACTGGCAGTATAAACGATCTATTGGTGTAGATTCATCTAATGTTTCTCTAGATTAGTTTAGAGTATAAATTGAAAAGGGTAAAATTGTCTTCCATCTTTTTGCGTGGGGGTATTTTTGTATTTTGAGTTTCCTTCTTCGGTCAAATCCAGCCCGAGAGAAATCTGCTCGACAGAATTCCGTTCGCTTTTCCTTCATCCCATGCGTCCGCTGCCGCCGATAGCCACCGTGAGCAAACGCCACCCCGCGCCACCGCGAATTGGAAATCGACTCGAATTTCTGGCCTTCTTTCCTCCTGTGACCTGTCCTTCCAGTCCACCCAAAACCTATGTCTTCCAAAATTCTCCAACTCCGTACGTCTTTGTGCGTGGGAGGGGGTGGAGCCGCAGAAGGGCGCCGGCCGCTGGGGGCTCGTCCCGAGGCACGCAGCGGCAGGGGGATGCGGAGCAGTCAAAGGTCGCGGAGTCAGGGCACCCGAGCACAGCTGCTACAGGCGGCAGCAGCAGTGCAGGAAGCGGCAGCAGCATTGCACGGCATCCGGCCATCCGGGCGGCGGAAGCTGTCTGTCAAGGGCAAGGAGAGCAGCCAAGTACAGGCAGTAGGAGGAGGCAGGGCAGCAGCAAGCAAAGACCAGCCGGCAGGCAGCAAGCAGCAAATGGAAAGAACAGAAAAATGGATCGCGCACGTTATATCGATTAAAAAACGAATATGTTACGACAGAAAATCGGACGCGACTCCTGGTCGATCGGCCGCCCGATAGGGAGGGGTAAAATCGGGTGCTGCCCTCAGCATTACGTCAGTGTCATGCAGCATAAAAAACACTTTAAACTATTTTTTTCTCTTAAATTATTTATTCAAATCATGATTCGATTGCACCATTAAATTCATTGAAATTAAATCTTCCAAACAAGACTACACATGGATCTATTCCGACGAAAAAAATTTTTAGCTTATTATTGAATTATTTTTGAATGTTGCACGATGTTCCACCAGGTATGTCGGAATTGTTTCACTAAGTAGATCGAAAATGTTTCAATCGTTTAAATGGAACGTTGTTTTACCTTATATAAAAACAATATTTCAGCAAATAGCGAAAGAATATTTCAGTTCACTGCAACATTTGATCCATACATAGTGAAACATTATAAGTACACTAGGTGAAACATCGTTGGTGGAACAAAAAATGAAACAAAATCCCTTAATAGAGGGTTTCCAAAATATATGGGTGATTTGTTGCAAAAGAATGTTTCGTTCACTGTAATATTAGATCTATACATAGTGAAACATTGTGAATACACTAGGTGAAACATTTTTTTGGAAAAAAAAAGAAATGAATTCCCTTAATAGAGGGTTTCCAAAATATGTGGGTGATTTGTTGCAAAAGAATATTTTAATTCACTGCAACATTAGATCTATACATAGTGAAACATTGCGAGTATACTAGGTGTAACATGTTTGGTAGGGACACGTGGCAGGTGGACAAATGGTGGGGCCCAGGGGGGCATGCGCGTCGCCGGGGGGGAGGGGGTGAGCGCCCGATTTCGCTCCCGCCGCGCCGGTTGCCCGATAGCGAGCAATTCCGCTGAAAATCACGTGTTATTTAGCTATCATCCTGGTTCGAAACAGACAGATGAAATCCAGATGTAATCCCCGATAGCATAAGCCATCGAGACAAGTTACCTCTTGTCGAGAGAACTCTCTGAAAAGAAGAACAAAAGGGTGGTGATGTGCCGAAGTTGTAATGGATTTTTTTATCCTCTATTAAAAGGATCCGGGGTCTATATTTATACACCGAGTACAAACTTAGTCCATTATAGACACGACTCAAACTTTCCTAAACATAAAATACAAACAAGACCATACAACGGTCTCTTACCATATCTCTAACAAAAACCAACAAAAATACCCTAATTAATAGATACAATTGCCTTTATTGAGATCTCTCTAATTGGCAATGGCGGTTATTCCAAATTAGGCCCACACGGAGCCCAACCTTATCATATCGGCCATTTGCTATATCGGCCAAATCAAACATGTACTCTATTTCCAGCCGATATGATGCCAGCTGATGCGCTGTCCGACTTTGAAACCAACTCGACTTGGCACCAAATCCGCTTCGATCTTGCTTCTATTGTTCTGAGTCTGATGCAAAATTCCGTTGTTAACACATGGCCGCCGCCAGGGGCATTGGTTCCTCCAGCTCAACTTCCTCCGCTTAGGTCATCTTCACCAAGCTCCTTACGCTGACCCCTCCCACCATGCTACCGCCGCCTAGCGCTAGCGTCGGTCGGCCCTGCCGCCATGACACACTCTCCACCGCCAGCATACAGAGGGACTTATCCTGCCCGGTTAATGCCAAAATTTGGTAAGACTCTTTAGTGAATTCGGTTAAGGAAAGAGCACAATCAACCGATGGAAACTTATCCAGAAGAAACTTATCCAAAAGGAAATGTGAAGACTATGGCATGACGGCTTAATTCTATCTATTAATTAGGCAGGATTTAGTAATTTCCTTCTATCTGTAGGAAAGTGTGTTTAGTGTCCGATAAGGACTTTATGTTTTTCCTTTTATCTTTAGGAAAGTTTGTATCGTGTCCAATAAGGACTAGTATCTACCCATGGGTATAAATATGTACACCTGTTGTCCCTGTATCCTATCTCCATAGATCAACACAATCTACTTTCGGCGCATCGCCACCCTTTTACATTCGACGAGTTCTTGTTTCAAGTTGGGCAGCATCGGCTTCGATCTCCGACGAGGAGTAAGGCTTGTTATGGCAGCTTGCATTGTTGCGACTAGTGCTTCCATCGCTTCGACACTCTAATATTGTCCATGTAAGACGTCGAGTTGTCATATGCATTATATAAGCTAGATTGACAGTGTTTTCTACTTGCATCGACCAATCTCCATCTAGGGTTTTGTCGATATTGGCTTGATTACATTGTTGGCTTAGATATAATGTATCCACCATCCTAAAAATCAGTCAAATGCTTGATTGTCTAGATATTATGTTTGTTTTCATACTTAGTGTTGCATCAGTTAAGTTTGATCTACTAAGTCGTGCTTAGAACCATAATCTCTAGCTTGCTTATTGATTGCCAATAAGGGTTTTATCGAGGTTTCAGCCGATGAGTTATCTAGATGTTGCATCGGCTTATGAGAATTACATACAAGATGAATTTAGCCTATCGCAACAAATGTTTTACCGTTTATCTAATCGTTTGGATCTGATGAAATCAGGACACCAGCCGATGACATGTACAGCCGATTGCTCAAAACCCTATCGACATCGGTTAGTATCGACATTGGCTCGTTAGCCGATCGGCTCTTTGGTGATCAACATATTTATTTATTTTGCCAGTTACAGGATCAAACTTACCAGCACGATTTGCATCTCATCAATATTTTGGACCTGCACTGAAACTAAGCAGAACTCTCACGCCAACACGGATCTGGCACCATCTGCCGAGCACAGATTTGTTGTCAACAGCCAGCCCCTCCTCCACCCTTCCCCAACCTTTGCCTAGGCCAAGAGTCATCGTTAGGCTACTGGTACTGCCCCGCGACTATCCGCTAGCCTCGCCGATGGGGCCTTGCCCCCTGCACCCCCGCACCAACTCCTCTCCGACATCATCCGCATGTCTGGCATCGTCCCCCGATCTCTGTGCTCAAGATGCCGGCGTCCTGCCGTCGCCGCGTAAGGGAATGTGGCGGCCTCTTGTGCCCTGTGGTCCCTCGATAGCTCCGCTGCTCCACGCGGGTTGCCAGCAGTTGTCGCTTGCCCCCAAGCGTGTCTTTGTTGCCTGCTTGAGATTGGGTGAGGGACACCCATCTGGTTGGCCTGGTCTGCTCCCTCACTGCTCTCTTGTTGCGCTCTTATGAACATGTGCTTCTTCCAACCGAAGAAAGAGCATAGATTATGACTTGGTCTAGGCTGGTGGGGAGAACTAGAGCAGAATAGAGAATGTCCATGCGTCACTGTCGAACTACTGCTGTCGTATCTTTTTTTCTGCTACTAGCTATTTTTTTTCCAAATAGTATTCGGGTTTAGGTTTTCTGTATTTTTAAAAATTTAATTTCATATTTTTTTAAAAAAATCTTCAGCTGTTGCAACGCACGGGCCATTTTTCTAGTCAATGAAAAAAAGGGAGGCAGAGCTTCTGCCTTTGTTTCGAAAATTTGGGTTGAACTTCTGCCTTTGTTTCGAAAATTTGGGTTGAACCAAACACGTGTATAAGTCAACAATAGGTAGTAATTAACAATTGCAATGATCAATCAGGAAATTTTGGTGAGGCTAAAGGCGAGAATAAGGAAAATTAAAGTGCTAAAATCAAAATAGTACTACTTATGTCCAAAAATAGTTGATGAGTTTAAAATTTGTTCCAAAATAAGTTGATTTGTGTTCTTTTAACTATCTCGGTTCTTCTATTGTATTATTTAGATCTTATTCTAAGCTATTTTAAGTTCATATATCAATATATTTAATTTTATATATAACTGTGTAGATAATTTTACTATGATAATACTGTTAATAAACTGTTTCAATCTGGCCTAGGATGGTTTGGCTTTTGGCCAAAAAGCTTTTCCTAAATAATTCAGGTTGAAATTGAGAATATTGGGTCGTGTAAATAAAGAAAAATAGGGGGGCATGACTGCTGGATAATATGTTTTATCTAATCTTAATCTAATTTGCAAAAGGAACTATAATGAATACAAATTTAAATTTCTTCAGCAACCCAAAATTAACCATAAATTTAAATTTCTACAGAAAACGATGCATAACTAAAAAACTATATTTGTGTTCTAAAACAAGTTCTAAATTTGTTCCTCCATGTTTCCAGTTGCCACCGTGATCAGCCGTTAGTACTAGTTGTAGCATGAAGTGATAAAGATGGTAAAATTTATGAACGATGATGTTGGATCTCTTACGGATTATGTCCCTCATATTTCTCTGGAGAGAAAGAAATCCCTAAATTATATTATATACTACCTCTGTTTTTTAACATATGTGATCATTGACTTTATATATTATGTTAAATTTTTTTGGCTTGATTTAAACAATATTTATATTTTTTAAGATTTGCATATAATTTTTAATAAGACGAAATAGTCAAAATTGTAACAAAAGTCAATAATGTCATATATTAAAAAACGACGGAGGGAGTAATTGCTCGCAATTAATGGGTATACGTATCGATAGGTGATACAAATACTGAAAGTTACTCTCATTGTCTTTAGAAAAAAAATATTTCAGAGGCAGTTAATGTCAGTATGATCTTTTTATGTGTAGATGGTCCTGCCTCAAGGTATCATTCATCAGCTGGAGTTGTTGCCGGTGAGCACCACATCTTAAAATACAATCTTGATCCGAATTGAATTAATAAGATCACTACATTTTCTTTGGATAAAACAGTGAGATTTCAAAAATGATTTCAGTCATTTTTTTTCAGCAAGCGCTGTGTTCTCAATCTCAGCAGCCGTTGGTATCACTGGACTTGTGTGGTACATTCGCAAGATCAAATCGACCAAAGTGGTGACTTGTGGGGTTCAAAGCAATGAGAATAGATTTTTTTAATTTGAGATGACTACAAGGAGGATTCAAAGCAATGAGAATATATATTTTTAATTTGAGATGACTACAAGGAATATTTTGATGAGGGTAGAGGCCTGGATGGCAACACCCTTGTTTCTTTTCGTCATATTCGAGAACTTCATTTGAGTAACTTGAAGTTTTTGAATTAGTTGATTTATTAAGTCATGTATATATAAATATTTATCAACTATTTTCACACAAGTAGTGGCAAATTTGATTATGTGTATGGTTAATACGATGTTTTAGGTTAAGTCAATGTTTAAACACAACTTGAACTAGCCATTTAGTCACGGTTAATGTTTCACAACAGTAGCTCGCGAACCGATCCTTAATTGTCATGAGCATGACCATCAAAACCATGTGCTCACAACCCATCATTAATTAGATTTTAATTATCAAAATAATTATCATAACACGATTGACCATCGTGAGCTACCATTAAGAGTATAACAATAAGTGATAGTGAAACATGATTAACCCCATTAATAAGCTATTGTTTCTAAGCATAGCTAAGCATATTTAATAATCATATAGCTGAACCAAACCAATATATAAGGTTCTAGCTAATCAAATTATAACCTATAGGAAAATAAAGTCATCTTCGGCTATAATTATTTGCGAAAGGCTCACCACCTGATGATATTCGAAAATAATGCATAAGTTGAAATAAAACATTAGCTTTAAATGGGTTCAACATGCTCAAAGGGTTATTTGGGATCTATGTGACTTGTCTTACAAACAAGCGTCTTCAATTTGTTTTCAGGAACTTCTCCAGCAAACAAACGCTCCTTCGAAACGACCAAAAACTAAACCTAGAACGCAAAACAAGGAAAAACACTAATAAAAACCAAATAAATAGTACAATTAAAGTTCATAAATGGGTAGAGCTTGAATTTAAATGAATTATTAGACTTGAACTAACTCATTCCGAGTTTGTATGAATTAGTTATCAATTTTACAAAATTAATTCCAATTAAAGCCTATTAAAGAAAAGACTATTCCAAATTAATTAAACAATTTACAAATGATTTATAACTGGGATTAAAGATTAAAACATCCTCCGAAAATAGATTAGATCATATTTGCTAGATGACATATATTAAAAAGGAATAATATATCATTACAAGAGATAACAAGATTTATATTGATTTTGCAATGGCTTGAGATGGCGCTGATGTCAGTGATGACAGCATCATCGGTGGGTGGCTCTGGATGGCAGCGAGGACTGAACGACGGCGCTTCGGCGAAAAGCGACAGCTCTGGGAGAGAGAGGAGGCGACGACATACTCACCAATGGCGACGGCAACGAGAAACGGCAACGGGAGACGGCCAGCGACGGCAAACGATAGCACGGCGGCGGGAACCGATGACACCAACACGAAGAGGAGAGCAAGATGGTCCTTACCGACACTTACACGACGACGAAAGGCGAAGACCGGCAGCCGGTGACGAGCTTCGAGCGGCGGCGAGATCGGGACGACGGTGGCGACGACTTTACAACAATCTCCGGTGGAGACGAGAGGGCGGCCGGGTTTCCCCTCACTGCTGCGATGCCGACGGAGGCTGCGGCGAGGTCCGGCGACCACGGAGTCGATGATGGATGGCGGCTGGAGAGGCAGCGGCAACGGCGGCTCTCGGGTTCACGTCGGCGAGTGGCTGCCGACGAGATTTGGCGCAAGGGAAATGGCGGCCGAGGTAGTCCTCGTCCTTGCGGAGCAGATGGAGGTGACGGCATAGGGCGGCATGGCGCGGCTGGAGTGACGGCCGGCGGCGGAGAGATGAGGCTATGTCACAGCCTGAATTTACGTTTCAGGATTTATAAATTATTTAATAAATTATTAATCGAATTTATATTAACTGTTCATTAATTTACAAGTGAAGTTAAATGTGGAAAATAAAATTTCCTTAATTTAAAGCATGGATGGATTTAATTTGTATTAAATTCTCCATGATTAATTATACTCTCTAAAATTTTCTCGGAATTTTCGGAGCTCAATTCCTAATGTTAATAATACAAAGAACAGTTTAGCAATTATTTAAATAATAAATCAATCATTAAATGATCTGGATATTATTATATTAAATACTTTGAGTGTCCAAGTATGTTCAAGATTTTTCTTGGAATTATTTGAGCATTGGAAGTATTTTTAACAATTGAAAGATCATCTCATTGGTTAATTTATTTGGAAAAGCAATAAAATCATCCTTCCTAGTCTTGGGCCGAATTCAGCCCATTCCCTCCCTTCCTCTCAGCCGGCAGAAAAGTCTAGTTTACCTCCCTTTCGCTACAGTGCTCCTTCTTCCAGCTCTGGACAGAGCCAGAGCCGAGCCGTGCCGTGCCTGTTGCCGCCGATCCCCTTCCAAAATCCAACCTCTCCGTTGCTCTTCTTTCCAAATTGGTTGCGGGAATGGAATCCTCTCAATATGCTCTTCCTTTTTCCCAAGAAATCCCCAAAAGTTTATATGGAAATCCTTTCCAATTTTGCGGTTCAACCTTTCCTTTTTCCGGCGAAGATCTAAACTTTCCCGAGTTTTTCCCGTCGTTGTGGGCTCGATCCCGGCCTCCCATGGCTATATAAAGGACCCCCTAGTCGTCCTCTACTCATCCCCTCAAGTCCCGTCTTCCGCCGTCGCCGGAAACGCTCTCCCCTTGCTCTCCCTCTCTCTCCACCTCCGGCCGCCGCTCCAGCCGCCATTCGCCGTCGCCCCGGCCTTCGCCGGTTAGCGCCGGCACCTCCCTCGGCTTCGCAGTGAAGAACTCTACTCCGGCCACCCGTTCTTTTGCGCCGAACCCCGCCGGAAGTCGCCGTCACCGTGAAGGCCGAACCGTTGCCATGTTTTGATCTCTGGCGAAGCTTTGCCGTCGACTCCGTGGTCGCCGGACCTCGCCGTATCCACTGTCGGCATCGCAGCAGTGAGGAGAAGCCCGGCAGCCACTTCCGCGAAGACGCAAGCCATCGGAGCACCGTCGTCACCGTGAAGCCGATCTGTTACATCTTCAGTCGGTTCGTCGTCGTCCGTCGTCGCCCTCGGTCGCTGTTGACTCCATTGGGTTCGCAGGAGCAAGGTGAAGCCCGGCCATCGGTTTTTCTTCGCCGAAGATCGCTGAAACGTCGCCACCATCGCTGACCCGACCCCGTCGCCGCCTCTACCTCGCTGCCGGCCGTCTGCCGTCATCTTCCATCGTCGCGCCACCCCACAGTGAGCTTTCCTCTCTCCGATGTCGTTCACCGGTGTAGTTTATCCATAGGGTCTTGATCCAATCTAATCTAATTTGGCCCTAGTGTCGTCATCATCTTCATGTGTTGTCACCGGAAAATCGTCGCCACCATGGACAGTACCTCGCCGCCCTTCGAAGCTCGTCGTCAGCCATCTTCCGTCGCTGTCCGTCGTTGCGTAAGTGTTGGTATAAATCGTCGTCGCCTTCTCTATCTCCCGGTGCCCTCCGTTTGCATTATTGTGCCGTGGTTCGCCGGCAACCGCCGCTCCTATGCCGTTCACCTGTGAAGTTTTCCCTAAGGCCTTAATCCGATCTAACCTAATCCGCTGTCTGTCTAGCGTAGTAGTCGTCTCCGTGTGTTGCCGCCAGGTAGCCATCGTCATCTCTCCCTCTTCGATCATTTTGGTTCGGTGAGACTTCTATCCGTGTTCCCTCGGTTTAGTTTTTAATCTCTTGTTTTTGTCGTCGAGTAGCCGCCGCCGTGCCACGCTTAGCTGCTGCCCTAGCGTCGCCGCTGTGCTAGACGCCTAGCCGTCGCTGTGCCGTCATCCTAACCCTAGCCGCGTGTCTCCGCCGAGTCGCCGCTGCCTAGCCGAGCCAAGTCGCCCTAGTGCCGCCGTGTCGCAGCTATGTGCCGCTTTAACCCAGCCGCCGCTTTAGCCGTTGCTCGGTAGCCAAGTTGTCTAGCCGTAGGTGCATCCCTAAATTCCTACCGGCCTATCGTTTGACGTACCGGGGCTTTATCGTGAGTCGTGTCTAGCTCACCGGTTTAGTCGCAGCCGTTGTTGAGTCGTTCACTCGTTCGTTCGAATGAGGTGTTCCCCGTGCTTCGTTCGTTCGTCCGTGTTGAGCTGTTCAGAGCCACCGGTTCCGTTCGCCGGTTTCGGTTGATCATTTGGGTGATCCCGTGTCACGTAGAATTAACACGTTGAGTCGGAATCTCGTGAGGCCCGCTTGCCAGATCAATCTAAGCCATCCAATCTTGGTCGACTCGGTCAAGATTAATCTCAGCCATATAAATCCGTTCCATCTTTTCAGTGGCATATTATTTCTTTTTAATATATGTCATCTACCAAATATAATCTAATCTATTTCCGGAGGTTGCTTTAATCTTTTATCTCAGTTATAAATCATTTGTAAATTATTTAATTAATTTGGAATAGTCTTTTCTTTAATAGGTTTAATTAGAATTAAATCTTGTAAAATTCGTAACTAATTCATATGAAATCGGAATGAGGCCGTTCAAGTCTCTAAAATCATCTAAAATCATGATCTACAAGTTTGTTTACTTAATATGTATTGTTTATTTGGTTTTTATTAGTCTTTTTCCTCGTTTTGCGTGTTAGCTTGTCGTTTCCGTCGTTTCGATGGTTCGTGAGTGCGCCGGAAGTATTCAAGAAGACTAATTGAAGACCGAATAAAGCAAGGCAAGTCACACCGATCCCAAACACAATTCCTTTGAGCATGTTGATCCTATATTTAAATTCCCTATTTATTTCAACTGTGCATTTACTTTCGAATGTCACCGGGTGGTGTGAATCTATTCCTTTGTTATGGCCAATTTGCATTGATCACCTTATTTCTTGATTACCTTGGGTTACAATTTGACTAGTTGAGCTTTATATATTGGTTCAGCTAGATATATTAGATATAATTGCTTAGTCATGCTTAGAAACATTAGCACACAATTGGGATAACTAATGTTTCACTATTACTTAATGATGGATATTTAATGATAGCTCACGATGGTCAATCATGATTGGTTAATTAATTAATTTGCCAACTAAAACTTGATAATGGTGGGTTGTGAGCACATGGTTTTGATAGTCGTGCTCATGACAATTAAGGACCGGTTCACGAGTTTCGGTTGTGAAACATTAACCGTGCCAACCACAAGCCAGCGTGGGCAACGGCTTTACCTTTTATATAGCATGGTTCATTGCAGGGCACCAGACTGAGAAGTGGCGGAGATAAGCCCACGGGGGTCGCTGGGGAGTCCATGCCTTGTTTTATAAGGGGGTGATTATGATCCAGGAACGGTGCGCTGTGGTGGATTGTGTTGTGCGAGGGGTACTGTCACAGCTCCTTTCCGAGGTACCGTGGTGGTATTGAGGCGCATGGTGACATGTTGTGGGGCTGTGTCTTGTGGGTACAGTGGTACACCTCTGGCCAGAGTAAAATTATTCGAATAGCCGTGCCCGCGGTTATGGGCGGGTCGAACAATGTCTTTCGTGATTAGTCCCATACTACTCATTAATAATAATGTGGTAATTGATGGTAATTAATTTAGCTCCTGGTTTGGAGATAGATCTGTGCAGCCGGGTATGATTGTTCAGGATGGTTGGGCCTGTGCAGCATGGGTGTGCTGTTCAGTGTTGATTAATATTGATGATTAATTACTCTACTGTTTTACAATTCTCAAATGTTTGCTAAATGCTGCTTTTGCAAATGAGCCATATATTATGCCATCCTTTGGTATCCTTGTGCACTTGTATATTTGCTATGTGGCTTGCTGAGTATGTCATATGCTCACCTTGCAATAATCAATCAAACCTCAGTTGAAGACAAGTTGCAAAGGAGAAGACGTTTGGCTTATACCCCAGTTGAGCTGCCTGTGGGAGTGGAGCCGGAGCTTCGCTAGACCGTAATTCCGCTGCAGTTTTCTTTTCTTTTGTAAGTATGTAACGTTATTATATTGATGAATCTGTATATTAAATTGTCAGTTTGTGTACCTCGGCTGATTCCTGGACGAGGATTTAATGCACAAATTAGTTCGGAAATTACTAGTGAATTTCCGGGTGTGACAGGCTAGAATGGGGAGAGGCAGCCAGGGCACGACGGCTCAGGAAAAAGAGAGGAAACCGAAGAAGAGGTCCGATGCATGCTATTTATAGCCAAAGGAGGAGATCAGCTCGGATACGGGAGGAATCGGCGGCGGAAGAGCTAGGGTTCGCCGGCAAAATATGAGATAAACTCCGCTTCGAATCCACGCGATAAACAACGGTATTTGCTCCGATTCTTGAGGGAAAAGAAAGAGGAGGATAAGAGCAACTAATCCCCTCAATCAATTTTGGAAACGGAGCACGGGATGTGACGGATTTTGCAGAGGAAACGGCGGCGCACGCACACGGCTTGGGCTCTGAACAGGCTCGGATGGAGGAGGAAAATAAAATCTAGCGAAGCTTCAGCTCCACTCCCACAGGCAGCTCAACTGGGATCTAAGCCAAAGGTCTTCTCCTTCTGGATCCTTTTTATTCAACTGAGGCTTGATGATTATTGCAAGGTGAGTACATGGAATACTTCGCAAGCCACACAACAAATATGCAAGTGTACAAGGATACCAAAGGATGGCATAGTATTGGCTCATTTGCAAAAGCAGCATTTTGCAATCATTTAGGAGTAGGAGAACGGTAGAGTAATTAATCATCAATATTAATCAACACTAAACAGCACACCCATGCTGCTCAGGCCCAACCAAATCTGAACAACCAACCCCAGTCGTACAGATTAAACCTCCAAACCTGGAATTTACCATTCCAAACCAGTAGTCAAATTAATTATCACATTATTATCATTAATGAATAGTGTGGGACTAATCA